AAGTCAAGTTTCCCATCTGGGATAATAAAATGACTGAACTGAACTGAACTGAACTGAAGATGTCAATCATTTACTGGCTCCAGGTTCTCATATGTGAGGCATTTCTTTATTTTATATCACTGAAAAATATAACATTATTGAGTTTTGGATGCTTGGTAGGATAAAATAACCAGTTTCAAGACATAGTTTTGAACTATGGGAAAATGTGATGGTAATTTTTCATTATTTCCGGACATTTAATTAATCAAATAGTATGTGACAGATTGATTAATAACGACCATTAAGATAAGATAAGATATTCCTTTATTTGTCCCACAATGGGGAAATTCCAATTAGTTACAGTCCTATATTTGTTCTATTTCTCAAAGTGCTGTGATTGTGGTTTACTTGAATTCCTTTTTAAAAGGGTATAAATTACTAATCAAGAATGTGAGAACTGTTTCTTCTGCATATACTTAATTTTCAAATCTTCTTTATTTTATATTCTGCCCCATTTCATACCTCAAAGTTACTTAAGTTTGGAAGCTGCAAAAGGCAGGTATAATTATAAAGCTATCTCTGAGGTGTTATTGTCCAAAAGTAGTGCTTTTTTAATTACTTTACTGACTAACTAATTACACATTTTAATTCAGGGCTTTTACTTATAAAGAGGAATTTTGACATTATGTTGCTGCTATTTTAAGGATCTGAATACTTCTTCCGCCACTGTCTGTTTCTCTAATGTCTCTTTCTGTCTCGTCTCTTACATTACGTTGCTCCATACGGACACACGCCCATGTACCCTTCGCCATCCGCCCCACGTCCTGCATTATGACAATTTGGGCCGGTATTCAGCCGGTATGGCCTAAAGTGCCACCATAAATCCCCATTATCCCCAATCCAATACATCGATGTCACTAAATGATCCATAGCCCTTTCACATAGTACAACTAATACAGTCTTCAAAGCTCTTAGCCTTTCATTCTTCTCAATTACCACTCCCTTTCCCGCACTCTCTTGCTCTCCGTCTCCCCTACTCTCCCCCCTCTCTCTCTATCTAAATCCTCTTTCCGGATTTCTCTCTCCATTTCATCAGCCTTCCCTCGTCTTTCTCCCCTCTCTCCTGTTGCGCTCTCCAGTCCCTTCTTCTTTAAAACTGGTCTCCCTTCGCTTCATGCTCTGCCCCCAGTCTGCGTTCCCAGTCAGCCGCAAAGCGGCCTCACTTCTTCTTCTGTGATTTTCTTAATTCCCCCTCCTGCTCTCTCTTTTTCCTTCAGTCTCTCCCTTCTGTTGCCTCTTTGCAATTCCATCACTCCCTCGCACACATTCCCGCTCATTCACTCACTCACTCTCTGTTCTCTGTTTTCTCTGCAGCCCCTCACTGTCACTTTCTTGCCGTCTCCTGCTCTCTTTCTCTCGCACACACTCTACGTTTGTGTCACCCTCATTCCCTTCTCTCTCGCTCCTTCTCTCTCCTTCTTTGCTTTTACTGTCAGTGAAGCTGTCAGAGAGGCAGTGGTGAGCAGCAGTCTATGGGCTCATCTTTTCACACACACACACACACACACACACACACACACACACACACACACACACACACACACACACACACACACACACACGGGCACGCACACACATAAGTAGACTACAACTGCATGAATGAGAAGCTGTAATAATAGCATGCTGACCCGTGGTGCTCTTCCGCTATCTAGCCGGAGATGAGCACTGTGAGACAGTGTGTGTGTGTGATTATCATCTGTCCATTACCAGCGTTTGTGTGTTAAACCGAAGGGGTGTGTGTGTGTCGTTGCAGCAATGACTGATTGGTGTTGTACGGTGTCAGGACGGCTGGGCGAGGCTTCGAACACACCATCATTCACATCGAGTTGATCTCTTTCAAATCTCTCTCTGTCTGGCTCTACTTTTCTGTGTTCTCCCCTTTTTTTTAAGGGTCGGTTCACATAAATTACTAAACAGAACCAATGTCCCTGTTACTCTGGATACAACCCTATTGCCAGACAAGACCGCTGATTCAGCAAAACCCTGGATTACATTCAATGACAGGGTTTGTTTTATAACATTCAATGCCAACATTTAAAAAAAAAGATTTATTTATCCAATATCTTTGCATGACAATGGCTATGGCACGCATTGCAAACTAAAGTGGCAGTAATCTTACACATGGATTTTAGTTTACTAATCAGTGATTATCTCAACTTGGACTTTTTAACAGAAAGCCTGGGTTACAAAATAAGGCATGGAGTTTCAGATAATGAGCTTTACCAGGGAAAGAACTAATTTACCATTAATAGGTGCTTGATGCTTGACTTTTTTGACAGCTGTATGTGTAGGATTGCTATCATTGTTGTTTGGCCTGGCTCAGGTTAAACCCCTTTGAGAATGAATGCCATAGAACTTTCTTCTATAATCTGTCAGTCAAATTGCTGACATTTAGCTAGCTCTGACTGATGTTACAGTAGTTTCCAGTGCTCAGTGGCAGCACAGCGCACATGCCTCGCCCTACTCTGACTCTGACTGGCTAGCACTCGTTGCCTTCGCTGGTTGGTTAGGTTTGGGCATGAGGGGTGAGATAGGGTAAGGGTGAGAATATCAGGGAGAGCTAATCACAGGGAGAGTAAGGCAGGTCATGACTTCAGAAAGGCAAACGGGACACTAATGGAAACTAGCAGGGAGCTGTTTACGGGATACTGAACTGGTGCATAGATTTGTGTACTCGCCGATACCCAATCCAACATTTTAGGCTGTATCAGAGGCACAGATAAAGGAAAAACCCTAATGGCATGGTAAAGGTTAGGTAACTAAAACACTTAGTTAAGGTCAGGGGGAAACTATTACAGTCGGAAAAAACAAATATTATGCCAGACTACAAACTCTGGTTTCCAGCATAAAAGTCAGATATGCTACATGCTCATATAGCTCCTATAACCCCACTTTACCCTACATCTTGCCACGTAAAGTTCACACTATTCTCTGCACTGGATATAAATCATGAAGTGCATAGATATCATATAAACATAATCCCTCTGGATCTCTTCTGTTGATTATCCAGAGTAATCAAAACATTGTTTCTGAAAAGACATGTTGCTGTAGAATTTTTCATTGAGCACAAACAAAATTGCATTCACCTCCATTATATTGGATGGTTGGCAGTCATCTCAAGAGACGAATATCTCAAAACCTGGACAAATAAAAACAAAACTATCTGCGTGGCTAGATACAATTACAGGTAAGAGGAAAAATACATCTTTCTGTATTTTGGGTGAGCTGACCCTTTAAACAAAAATCCAATCTCTCTAAAAAAGCAACAATCTCTAGGCTCCTCTTTCCCTCTGTCTCCTGTTTTTAGTTCAGCTGTAACAAAAAGACCAGATAATCTGTCCTCAGGCAGGCAGCTCTCCCATTCCTCCTTCTCTTTGTAGCTTCAGTCCATTCTTTCGATTCATTTCAATCCATAATTATAGCAAACACTAACACTGCCAAAGCATCAGGACATAAGACAGGCATTTTTGCATTACAAAGCCTGAGTGTAGCATTTTCACATCAATAAATCATTATCATATTATATCACCATATTATATTAGTATAATTACTCTTTAAAAGACCATTGCAAAGAAGATTTGCCTGTCTGAACACCGCAGTGTACACAAAGTAGATTTGGCGGGACATCTGCTGGAGGGCTTTGGAAACAGACAGAGGGCGCTGTTCTTCCAGTACAAATAGAGCGTAAAGCTTATAGAGTTTCTGGTAATGGCAGATGGTGGAAGGAGCAAAAGGGCGACAGAAACAACACTTCCAACATGTTTGTTCTGCTCAGTAAAGCAAAACAGAAAACCTTTGACTGATGAAGCAACAAGAAGGGGGGGGTTACGGGAAACATGGTCGTAATTTGGAGAAGCGTTCCCACTGCCAATACCAGTGGTGTGAGTCAGAGGCTGCCAATCGTCTCTGTGATTTTCAGTTTATCTGTAAGAAGAAAGCCAGTTAATTTGTCCTCTTATGACATCCTCGCTCTGCTCTCTCTGCCTCTCTCTTTCTCTTCCCTGCTCATTTCTCCCGTTTATCTATAACAAAAGACCAGTCAGTCTGACCTCATGCAAAGCTCTCTCTATCTCTGTTTCTCTGTTCGACCTCATCCCTTCATCCTCCCCTCCGCCCTGCCTTTCATTGCAGGATTCTGTCGTTATCCCTGGCTAGATCCGACCCACGCTATCTCTCGCTCTCTGTTGTGTCACTCCCAGTTGCAGATATGTTGCAGCTCAACGGATGACACACACACACTTGCACAAATAAAGTCAGCATCAACACAAAATACAAATAAAAGAAAACACGTACACAGTTCCTGGATACATGCATAGGCACGCATTTACTGGATCAGGACATGAAGGAACGATGGGAAAAAAGGACACAACACACTCGCAGCGTGTTTCTGCACTCTCACACACACACAAGCAGCATGCTCTCACACTTGCACATGCACATATGCTCTTGCACTTGCACACACACATATGCAGGCGCAGGTTTAGGACACACAGAGAGACAGCAGGCAACGTGGCAAGGACACAATACGCACACAGCATGATTACACACGCAAGCTACGTTCTCTCTCACGTACACACACACACACACACACAGGATCAAAAACACACAAAAATGCTCATATGTAAGGAATATGCGGACAAACTGCACATGTGCACAAACACACACACTGAAGGATCATACAAAAGCTTATTGAAAACCCACAGAGAAACACACACACGTACACAAACACAAACCACATCCTTCATTCCTCTGAAATATCCTTGCAGCTACAAACTCACACACACACTGTCCCACAAACATACACATAACCACACCCATCCATTTCTTTACCACACACACAGATCCAGCATGAGTACAAGCCAGAGCATAACAACAGACACATCCAGCACACATTATCTGACCTCGACAATACACACATTCACAAACACACAGAGCGTCCACACACGCCCTGTGTCTCTCACCTTCCAGCTCCTGGTTTCCTCGGAACCAGCGCAGCTTGGCGGGGGGCTTGCTGCCAGTACTGGTGCAGGTCAGGGTGACTTTGCCCCCCTCCGGCACTGCACTCTCAAAGCCCGAGATCTGAGGTTTACCGGGCACACCTAAAGCGAGAGAGAGAGAGAGAGAGAGAGAGAGAGAGAGAGAGAGAGAGAGAGGAAGAAAAAGTTATAGAGTTTGCAGGAGAGAGCATTTTTATGCTGCAGGGCTCACCTTGTAGCCAGAAAAAGCAAAAAAGTTCAGGGCCAATGGCTGAGCTTCTAACAAGTATAACAAGTACAGCAATTTTTTTGCAAAGTTGTTGTGTATCGAATTGGGGAATGTATTTGGTCAGTTCTGAAAGCTTTGATGGAAAGCAGCTTGGAGGAAAAATAATGATGCAGTCTTGCAATGATTTGCCCCAAAAGTGGTTCAGAGTCATTGCACAGCTGCTCAAATGTCTGTGAAGCTTCTGTTCACATTGACCTTCCAGAAGCATCAAACTTACTCTGCCCATCAGTGTCCATCGGGGCAGAGGTAATTGATCATTTCTATTTTTTAAGTGACCACTTAAGGCAAGTGTAGCTTAATGTTGTAACAGTGCCACAAAACCTCTTGAGGAGTTGTGAGTTTAACAGTGGAGAGCACCACTTTTACCCGTGACCTCAATCGTTCTTTGACTGTCGGTGTCTAAATTTAACCACACCTTAACCATAGTGGTCTTTGGTAATGGATTTTGAAGGCAATGAAAAAAGATGCCATCATGATGAGGGGAACTAGATGCGGCTCTTGAGTTCTTGTGGTTGAGTTTAGAGGACTTGTTAAGGCAATAAAATATGAAGATCAACAGATTGCTTGTAATGTGCTTGTACCGATGAGAACATCCATCCAGCAATTGGAATAATTTGTATGTAAAGTAACAGGACCCCAGAGATTGCTGTGGCACAAAAACAGCAGAGATTTAGAACACAAACACAAAATTTCATAATGACATTGACAAAGACATGTTTAATGTGGATCGGTAATTACTTGCCAATATCAGATCTGCTTACTCTAGTAAGGTCCGTACCAGACCCAATAATGATCTGGCAGATTGGATGAATGCATAATTGTAGGGAAAACATTGCTTAATGTATCTATTTGCACTTTGTAATGATTAGGTTTTTGATATTGTGAATCATTGCAAAATGTTTCAATTGATGGCAAAATGCTAGCAACAGATATTTCACTGGGATATTCCATGATATCATCCAGCAGACTCTTACTCTGTCTTCCCTTTTAAGTGCAGTCTCATTTGAATAACTGAAATGCTGAGTAAGACTTAAAAACATCACAGAAGCTGAATATAGAAATAAAACTATTCCCAAAAGAAAATGATAAAATTAAATTTCTTCCCCTCATTGACTTAACATTCCAACAAGTACTCGTGGCACACTATTAAGTATTCCAACATATGCAGCGAAACCCCAAAAGGGAAGATGGCTGCCTACTGAGATGAACATGGAAATGCAATTAATTCAATGAGAAAAATAATAATGCGTTATCGCTTTAAAATCAGCAGCATGAGGTCTGCATTAACTCTGACAGCCTTGGCATTTTCCACAATTCAAGTCAGTCTGGTAAATAATATTGTGTGACTGTTCACTCTCAGTACTTCAGGTCAGTTCAAAATGTCAAGCAAATTATATTTTGCAGGCATTATTAAATACGACTCCCAGAATTCATTAGTTAAAAGCAAAGATGGGAGTTAGAAAGACTCAGTCAGACTTTTTTTTTTTTTTTACCTGGGGCTTGTGTGATAGTTTGCAAGATGAAATGAGGGATGAAGTGAGCCAAAGGTCAGATTCAATCTGGTTTAGTGAGCCACCAGGACGCCCCCGAGCCAAACCAAAATTCTATGATACATCTTCCTCTCCCACAGGTGTTCTTCCAGATTCCGGCACCGTTAGATATAATTAGAAACATTTTTCCTTAATTACTAGTTTAACTGTCAAGTGAAAACAACACAAGCAGGAGAAGGAATCCACACATCCTCTCTGCCAAGTATTTCAGAATCGACTTTGTCTTCACCATCATGGTCGAAGGCAAGAGAGGAGAAAAATTCAACTTTTCTTGCCGTCCTCCATCTGGAGCCGTTGTGGGCGGCACTTTTCTCCAAGTGTTGGCGGAGATGACTGTCATTCTGCTTTTGAAAATAATGAACATTCGGTTCACCGCATACCGCCTTCTTGTGCACAAAGGGAGGAGTGAGAGAGAGAAAGAGAGTGATGGAAAGAAAGCGAAAGAGAGGTAGAGTTGAAAGAGCAGAAGCAGAGAGACTTTGAGAGAAAGACAGACATGGAGAGGGGAGACAAAGTTATGAAGGGATGCCGAGAGGGAAACTGATATAATTTCAAATTGACATGTTTTTAAACCAGTTATTGAAAATGTTTGGACCAAATAATTGTTTTAAGGGAGAGAGAAATGACAGAAGGTCAGAGGATAGATAGATAGATAGATAGATAGATAGATAGATAGATAGATAGATAGATAGATAGATAGATAGATAGATAGATAGATAGATAGATCAAGCACATAGGGCAAACACACATAGACACGGAAGTACCAATATAAAGTGTCGTGAACTAACCAAGGTATAGATCAAAAAAATAAAAATGTGGTCAATTTTTAATGTAGCACTATTTGATGTAGTGCGGAAGCTCTCTGGCTGTAAAGTAGCATTGAATATTAATGAGGGAATAATACTGCACATATAGAACTGGTTGGAGAAGCCCTGTTGAGACCCTTTCCTCTACAAGAAGAATAAAAAAAGAGAATAAAGCCATTATAAATTATTCTCTGCTTAGCTCAGGAGAGAGCAGAGATGCACGCCACACATTTTACACGGACACACAAGCATTTAAAACTGACCGTACTCAGCAGTTATGCACTCATGTGTGTTTGTGTACACGCGTCAAAAGGTTGCACATGTCAAAACAAGAATGAAACACACACACACACACACGAACGCGGCGGTGCCAAAGCTCGATATCTTTGGCTGATTTTCCCATAGGGGTCGGTGCGATTTAGACATTTTACCATACATTTTTAATGGTTTGGCTCCCTCTCAGGGGTCATGAAATATTTATTGAACGCAGAATACAGTGTCACAGCTGTCAATTACAGCGAATAAAAAATGCTTGAATCACAATTACTGCAAAATTTCAAGAAATATGGAGGAGTGATTCTCATCTTAATTTGAATTTAAAGAGCTAAAGTAGACCCGCCTTTACCCTCACTTTGACACACACATAGCGCTCCCCCCTCCAACCTTACACACATACACAAACATCACATTAACATTTCAGGCATTTTTGCTCATGCTGTTGTCCAGAGCGACTGTATTGAATTCTTTTCTATACACTCTGCAGCACTGCCAAAACATTTGAATAATTATCAACAAAATGATTTATTCTAGGATGCGTCCACAGCTGTTGACAAAAAAACCCAAATTTGGGGAACAACCCTGTGGCCTTTCAGTCACAGAACAGCCGTTGTAAGAATAAGCCACCCTGCCCCACCCTAAATTTCAGCCTCTCTTGTTTCCACTTAGTGCATTTTCCAAAGGAATTAGGCAGAAACCCTCTGCAGCTTGGTTTCCATCCAAAAAATGTGTTGGCAAATTATGGTGTATTGAATTAGAAAAGCTGAGAGCAAATGGCGAAAATTGCTTAAAAAAAACCTCCCCGATATTACAAATTACAGTAAAAATGTATTGTTTGCCCATATCAGCAGGTATGCAAAATTAAGCGATGGAAGCCCATTTTTGTTGAAAAATGTGAATGCAGCTTTTCGCGATCAGCAAAAAGAATGATTGAATTTCATTACACAGCCATTTAAAAGTGGAATTGGATGCCCTGAAATGTTGGCTGTAAATCTGCCCACCACAACCTCCCAGGAATATCAGACCAGCTGTCTCTCCCATGTATACAGTAAGTCTCCATTGTGGTTGTATGGCCATTAGCTGGTGCATTACAGTATTGCCAGGCACACTGCTTTGTTCTTATCTTCAAGTAAAACCATGAAATATGGCCAGAATTAGCTGACACTGAAGAACAATAACAACTCGACTGATAAAAATCAATACTTGAAAGACTGTTTCTGGAGGCTAAAGCCGATGAGGCCAATATCTAATCAATAAACAGGCCCAACCACCACTGACAGGATGGCCGCAATTTATATCAGGCTGCAAAGAAGCGACACACATAGGTAATAACATCCATCTCAAATAGGATGAGTGCAGCTGGTTTATCTCCACACAAGAGTTATATGAGGTCATAACATTACACAAAGGTTAACAGTGTAAGAAAGGATCTGGATCAAACTGGATGAAAGCATCACAAGGAAGGCTATTGAGTCATAACATTACCATGATCTAGTGTTTGGGCAGCTTTGCCCACTCTAGAGACTAAATGTCAAGGTATCCCCACCTTTGCTGCACTGACTGTAGACATTCTTTTCTAAACTGTCTTTCATAAGTCCCCTAACTTCATCGAAGTGCTGAACTAAACTGCTGGCTTACCAATTCTTTGCCTCTTGCCAACAGGCAGCCTCTCCTAGCATGTCACACTTACAATGGACATCCAGGGTCAAACCTCATTCCGCTCTGAGAGAGGGTAAACTCTGCAGGGTACAGTAGGTCTGGCAAACACAGCACCACAGCAGTCTATCAAGGTGATTTGAGCCACTTTTTCTACATTTTATGAAGTGTATAGAAAAAGTAGACAAAATTATTATCAGCAAAATGACAACTGAGAAGGAAAGATGCCAAAAATTCCAAACATCCATCTACATTTGGGAGTGAAATTAAGATAGACTGCAGTCAAGCTGATTTGTACGGCCGTCAATCAGTCTCAAAGAAGAAATGCTGAGTATAAGCAATGTAATGATGTCATCCTGCACCATTAGGCCTCAGTAAGAATAAAGAAAAGTATTTACAAAAGCCTACATATGAAATCAAAATGATGAGGAAACCTTTAGATGGGCCTGACAGAGAGGGCTCCTGCTTAAAGGACAGACATAAGCTAGGGAAGTTAGAATCACTTGTAATAGAGTAAAGGAGTTTTACAATTATTTCCATCTTTTTATCAAGAAGATGTTCTCGTTTTATTAAAATCGAGAAAACGTATTGAACACAGCTGTTAGAGACACGCGTTACCTGCGCTTTCATTTCCAGGGTTTATTTTTAAGTTCTGCAAAAGTTGCAAACTCTCCTTTTGGTAACATCAAGATGACAGATTTACCCCTCGAAATGCACATTGTGTGCACAGTGTGAACATGCACTGCGTAGATGTGTGACCCACCTAGCACGGTGACGGTGGCCCGGGCGGTGCGGACTGGCATGGTGAAGATGGAGCAGGTGTACTCGCCCTCGTCAGACAGCAGCACTTCAGCGATGGTGATGGAAAGCTCGGTAGCTGTTGAGCGGTGCAGCTGGATGCGGTTATCCCTCAGTGCTGAAGGAAGAAGAGGAACAGGATATCAATAATTAGAAATGTGCATATATAATTGATCTGCTTTATGAATTATTTAAGGAGATTTAAGTTGCATAAGGTATGCTTTTTTTAAAAATATTTTTTTATCAATTTACTTATTTTAGTTTTTAAGGTTCTTTTTTGCTTTTAAACTTTTGTAACTCTATACATAGATTTCTCATATTTGTATCGTTTTTTATTGTAATAAAGAATAAGGCAAAGAAAGGAGGAGGAGGAGGGGGCAGAGTATGAGTGAGGTAGAAGGGACAGAACGAAGGTGGAGATAGAAGGAAGGAAAGAAGTAAAAATTGGGAGAAAAGATGAAGGAGTTTGAGAAGTACAGAAGAGAGGAGAGAAGTTTGCGGAGGTGGGAAAAGAAATATAACATAAGACAGGGGAGAGCAAGAAAGAAGGAAGGAGGAAGAGGGAGAAAGGGTAGAGAGGAAGGAAACATGAGACAATGTAAGGATGAAGAAAAAGGAGGACAGGCCATGGAGGATGGATAAAAAAAATCAGGTGAAGTAGGGAGGAAGATGAGGTGAGACAGAAGGACGAAAAAGGGGATAAAGGGCTGGGAGGAGTGAATGTAGCAGAGGTGAAGGTGAAAGGTATGGAAAGGATAGCAAGAAGAGAGGACTGAAAACAGTAGAAAGGGGAGGGAAGGGTGAGGAAGGGAAAAAAGGAGATGGCGAGGGAAGAAAAGGGGGAGAAATTGATGTAAGGAAAGTGCAAGGGAAAGCAGAAGTTGGAAAAAGTGGGGATAGAAACAATGAAAAGAAAAGGAGAAGTAGCAGGGATGTGAGAAAAATAAGGGAGGTGGGACGAGAGGAAGAAAGCATGTAAAGGAGGGCGAGCAAGGATGGGGAGGGCAGAGTGAGAGGGAAAGTAAGAAAGATGATGTGCAGAATTTAAATCATGGGAAAGAGAAAGGTAAAAGGGAAAGGAGGAGGAGGAGGAGGGGGTAGAGGTGTTTAGAGAGAAAATGATGTAAGAGAGGGAGAGAGAGAGAGAGAGAGAGAGAGAGAGAGGAGGAGGCGGAGTGATGAAGATGAGGTGAGAGAGGAGGAAAAAATAGCCGAGATGTGAGCACAAACAAGGCAAAGAAAGACAAAGAGGGGACTAAAGAGAGGAGACGCAAAATGAAAATGAGAGACGAAAGAAAGTGCGAGTGAGGGAAAAAAAAACAACAACAGAAAAATAAAACAGAGGAAGCATAAATAGCAAGGAGAATAAGGGAGAGACGAGAGTGAGGGATGGGTGGAGGTAGAGGGAGGAGGATGAAGAGGGAGGGAGGCTGGGGGGAACATAAGAGAGACATAAATGGCTTTGTCATCAATGAGAAATCCAGCCATGAAAGAGCGAGAGAGAGCGCAAGCGACCAAGATAGATGATGATGATGAAATGCTACGAAATAACCGCTCGTTTCCGTGATAGCATTGACCTCTACGGTGTTTGTGCTGTATGATTGCTGTCTGTCTCCCTGCCTTCCTATCTGCCTGTCTATCTAGATGTCTATCCGTCTATCCGTCTATCTCTCTGTCTCTCAATAAAACCTTTTCAGCTTTGTTCTCTGGCGCCATCATTCAGAGTTGGCTCCCCGCAAAAATACAACAACCGGACTACAAGAAAGCGGATACCTTCAAAAAAAAAAAAAAAAACTACTGTGGTCGAGTCAAGCGAACAGTCCGATAGATTTGTTTCCACATTCAAAGTTGTTTTAAGTTACCGTGGCACTATTTTTGTCTTATCCCAAGTCTGAAATACAAGGAGCTGAAGTTTGAGAAGACTTCGCCGAATTAACCGCTACACTGTATTTTAGGTTTTGTTCGTTTTACTAGAAGTAGATGTAGCCGTGGGGGAGGCTCCCGAGGGCCTGAAAGGACTCAGCACAAGTAAGCAGGCGTGTAACAGACAAAGTGTTAACTTCCCACAGAAGCACTTGTTAACAACAATACAAACCTAGTCAGCACCTGGTACAATAGATACAATCAGAGTATCAATCGAGTTGCAACGTTTCTAAGCCTATGAAGCCAGTTTGGAGGTGCCGGCTTGGTACTGACCTCGTCCAATTGATGTTGAATATGCACCTGTACCTTGTTGCACCTGTAACCACACCTAACAGTGATGTCACAGTGTACTGACCACACTGCAATGTGGTGAGACCTTCAAAGTAACTCATTAAGTCATTTTATTCTGAAAATCTTAAAATAGTATTATGTGGGAAAGTCCAAGTATTGTGTGTGTGTGTGTGTGTGTGTGTGTGTGTGTGTGTGTGTGTGTGTGTGTGTGTGTGTGTGTGTGTGTGTGTGTGTGTGTGTGTGTGTGTGTGTGTGTGTGTGTGTGTGTGTGTGTGTGTAGTTTAACAGTGTGTTATGGTCACTGTCTGTTTTCATATATTATTGTTTATTTGCCTTTCTCAGTATTGAGCCACATCTGTGTCTGTTTATCTCTTCATCTCTTTGTCTTTCTTTCTGTCTCACTCTACTCTCCCTGTCTCTCCATCTACCCATCTGTCCATTCACCTGTCTATCTCTATTGCACTCCCACACACACACACACACACACACACACACACACACACACAAACTTCTGTTTCTCTTGATATTTTTCAGTTATTTCATCCAACACTACTTTATCTTCATGCCTTATCACTAAGCAAGGTCACTACATTTGTCTTCATGAGCTACCCTCTCTGTGTGTGGGTGTGTGTGTGTAGGTGTGTGTGAGGCATACGGTCACTAAACACACACACACACACACACACACACACACACACACACACACACACACACGCTTATCCATGCCCCCTGGACCCTGTGCTCAACTATCAGTCTCCTTAATTCTCTTCCCCTCATCTCTCCTCAATCTCCCCTCTTTCCCTCACTCTTGTTCCTCTTCGGCTTTCTCTCTTACATCTCACCCATTTCTAATCTTTTCTGACTCCAGGCCTTTCTCTCTTCTTTTTTTTTCATCATAAACAATGTATATTGCTTGTGAGCACAGGTGTGATAGATTTTCAAAAACAATATGATATCTAGTTACGGGGGTGCATCGATCGGGAGGCCCCTGAAAACTGTACATGTGCTTTGCCACATAAATAGTCTGCCAATAGGTCACAGTCTGCTGTTTGGCTTTTGTTTCGTTGGTGAAGGGATATAATGAATTTCTTAGTATTGAGATAAACTGGATTAATGGATGAAGGGTGTGTGTATGTGTGTGTGTATGGTAGGGTAGAGGAATATAGTTGCATATTCATTTTTTTTAAAGAGCATGTTAGGTGACTGACATTTGGAGCACTTCCAAGGCTTGGATGGACATGAAACTCTAAACATCTAAGCATTAGAGTTCACAACTTGTGACATTCTCCTCTCCTCATTCCCTGCTTTTATTTAAAAGCCAAAAATACAAATCCAGTCGGCAAAAGGCACGGACGTGGAATGAAAGTCTCCTGGTTGAACTGCAAAAGATGAGCAACTGCATTGGTTTCCTGGTTTGAGTCTGGCTGGTTGTTGAATCTCTATCTCTCTTGTTTGCTGACATCTCTCTGCTGTCCCTATCTAGTAAAGTAAAATGGCTCAATAATAATATCTGGTTCTCTGATAAAAAGGTAAAAGTACAAGCCTGTGTACATAAAAACTTAAAGAGTGGAGTTATTTGTGATTCCTGAGGAGAACTTTGGTAAGAAACATCCAGTGAACAAGCTTACATTTTTGCAAGTGAATGTCTGAATTGTGTGTGAATTTGTGCATTTCTAGAAAACTAATGAAACACATCACAGTTTTTATCCAGATTCTGGGTAAATGTTTGATGAATTCAGCAACTATATTACAGTGTTTTGTTCTTACTTGTAACAAAGGGGCATTTTGAATTTGCTACAGTTTGCTGGAGTTGCTATTTTGTGCCTCTGACTGTGTTCTTCTCCACAGCAACGTCAGCTGAGGCTCACGGGTGTTGCAGTGTTTAAAGCCATCTGCTAACCAGACAGAAAAAGTTCAAATAATTTAAGTGTTTTCAGAAATAGTAAAGCTTTCTGTTCTACAGCAGCCAAATCCCCACTATAATTTAGAGCTGTTCAGAAGAGAATAATGTTTTTTAAAAGCAAATTGAAAACACGGTTCTAACTCATTTATGATTGTTAGACTGTAACAAATACTCTGTAGCTGTACTTTACAGGCCATCTTATCTTCATTTTGATGCTGAACTTCTCGAAAGGTGAACATTAGCACCAAAAATGCACCATTGATTCTTTAGATGAAACATGGCCTGATAAACATGTCTGGAAGGCAAAGTCAATAACAAAGAAAATGTATCATTAAATATTAATTTTGTATCGCAGTTATGTACGTTCACAAGTACATTACATGCTCCATAGATGCATGCTGCTGATGGACTCGGCACGCAAGGCTAGCAGAGCGGAGAACACGAGGCTGGAGTGGCAGTGGATCATCACCGGCAGCCATATTGTGTTATTAAATTATCAAGGAGACCCCTGTGTTACTCTGTTGAAGAATAGTGAGGATAGAAAAAATGAAATTAAAATGGGAATTTACAGAGAGAATAAATACCTTTCCAAACAGCATCTTCTTCCACTTCTATGTGTGTGCATATGTGCGAGAGTGTGATGGGTTTCTAAGTGGTGTCAGGGGGGCTTTGAGCTGAGAAGATGGAGCATTTGTGTCTGTTGATTACATACCAGGTACAGGATGTGCTTATCAGTGTACAAACGTTTTTGTACATCAGTGTTTTGGAAGTGTGTCTGCACATCTCTGTTACTTGTGTGTGTGTGTGTTGTGTGTGTGTGTGTGTGTGTGTGTGTTTGGCCAGACAGTGGTTCTTGTCTGCAGCTCAAACTAGAGACTCGATACTCCCCAAAGGTCCAACTGTTGATCTGGTCACAGCAGCTATTTTCGCCTACTCGTCTTCTTCCTCCACCTCCTTGTCTTCGTCCTCCCTCAATCTTTCTCATGCTCTTTCAACTTCAA